AGTCATGAGGGGCTTCGTCCTCCCACACCCGCGCCCGGGCGGGCCCCCACCATGGCACCATCAACCGAAATATAATTATTACTTTAAAAAAAAATAAAAAAAAATAAGCATAACATATTATTACCATACTATATTATTCAACAATAATGTACTTGTAAGTTATACATAAATTATTATATAGTCACATAGGTCACTAAATATAATTTACATACTGAGATCTGAGTCATTGTTGAACATAGCCAATTTTTTACCCGCCACATAGCAGATAATGCTTTTTCACAAGTAGCACTACTAATAGGAATTGTATAAGCTATGTACAATAATTTATATAAGTTTGGAAATGTGTTAGATGATACAATTTMAAACATTTCCAAAGGTTATAACATTTGATTYGTCTGTAGTTTTTTTTAAAAAGATTTTTTGCAATCATAATTCTGTTTTTAAATAATATTCCGCATCGATATTCAATAAATTGTATACAAGAATAAATTAGTATTGCCATTCTTTTTTCATTTAAAACCAATTAAATAATTTACTTTATAATGGCTTATAAATGTAAGGCTTTTTTGATAGTCAAACATTAAAAAGCCATCAAAACTATTTGCCAACTTCATGTTTTCTTTTGAAAATCTCTTTTTAACATTTATTAGTAACTATCCGTTTGCACACACACGATTTTTATAGTATGGGTTGCAGCCATAGACATATAAAGAAGTGGACTGATAACAGAGTGAGATGTCCGGGGCAAACGTTGTTAGAAAGAGATAGCATACAACTTAGGTTCRATTTAAATACATTAATAGCAAGAGAGAGAAAGAATAGTAAAATAACAAAGATAACAACATTTTTAGAAAAAGAAAGCATACACCTTAGGTAGGTAGATCCATTTCTATTACACGGGGATAGACCATCTCTTTCTAACAATGTTGGCACTTGGCAACCTACAGCATAGGGTAGAGGACAAGCAGTCCATATATTGATAAGTCTATGGTTGCAGCGGAATACTGGGAGTTGGTATACGTATAGCAGCGGTTCTCAACATTTTTTAGTTCACGGCACACTACGACTATACATCACAAGTTTTCACRGCACACTTAATACAAACGTAATGGAATAAAGTACTGTTTTCAATATTTTTTACCAGCATAATTACAAATATCAAACATTTTTCGCGGCACACCAGTTGAGAACCACTAGTATTTAGTATACTGTACGGAAACCACGGTGAACCACCAAAATTCCACTGCTACATGCCCGCATAACTTATTAGATAACAATATTATTAATATTATTAATTATGTAGGAATTATAAAATAAACTATAATATTTTATATTAATACAATTTATTTTTGAATAATTTTCTACGTCATATTCACATAGGTATTGCATAAGATGTATCTCAATTCTCAGTATATCATGTTTAATTTATTATTAATAAATCTTAAATAATTTAGGGGAAACTAAAATATATTTTATGGGCTAAGCCCCCATAYGCCCCTCTAGTTGTGTCAATGCCATTGGCCCAATGATTGAATAGGTAAATATATAAAATAGTAGCAATTAAAAAATGAGATTAATTTGAGAATATTTTGTTTTATAGTACCTGTATTTCAGTTTAATTTGGCTATAGGTACATCGTATATATTATAAAATTGTAACATTAATAAACCAAGATATTTTCTTCCAGGCCATCCTAACTGCCGGCTGTTCATTACGCATGGAGGCATACTTAGCCTGATCGAGGCCATTTACCACGGAGTGCCTATGTTATCTATACCGGTATTCGGCGACCAGACTCACAATTCAATCGAAGCTGAGAGCAGAGGATTCGCTTTGTACGTGTCCTACTTCGAACTGACAGCTGAGATTTTTGGATCAAAACTCCGACAGATTTTGCGAGACCCTAGGTAAGGAACGCTTGTTTATTGCTAAAATTTATAATATTTGTACTTAAATACTTTTGGGACGCATTTGCGATAAATCGTTCAAATCTATTCCGCAGACTGCAGTAGGTATCCGATCATTTTTAGATACTGACAKTTGTCATAATCCATGATAATTATTTAATGATCAAGAATCGTTATCTGCAGTGATATTTTTCTTGACAAAAACACTTGTGTGAGTGATCCAAAAATGTTGATCTTAACGATATTTATCCTACTATTTATACACAACTACAAACTGTACGAGATCAAGTGAACAGTTGAATTTAAATAGGTACGCATTTTGTCCTATACAGTAACAGTCAAAGAACTTGTTGATTATTATATGTATAATAGTCGTATACTCGTATAGATGAGATATGATAGCCTATAGGACAGATCTCTCAAGATATAGTGGTATAGATTAGAGGCTAAAACAGTTAGCTTAGTCGTTATAGTAATACAACAAAACGAGTAGTTTTCGCTTATTTTATAGAATGTAAATACCTAGATAGGTACCTAATATAGGGAATTAATTTACTGTTCTGATTTTTTTAGGCTATAATTTTCGCAACTATTACTGTGTTTACTTTTGTTCTTGCTTTTAACCCCTCTAATATTTATAACAACTGACTAATGGTTTCATGGTCACGTGTTATTGTTTCCATGGATACCTTTATCCAGATATGCCAAAGAACAGGTTAGATATACACTATTGTATATATCAGGGATGGGCAACTGGCGGMCCGCGTACCTTTTTTATCTGGTCCGCGCTACATTTTCAAATTACTTCATATAAACATATAAAACCTTATCCTCAAGTATCACATTAAATAATAATTGTAAATATAAATAAATAAAGATAAAAAATAAATGTTAGTAAATTTAAAGGACCTTTTTTTTTTTTTTGCTTTTTCCTATGCACTGCGGCCGGCTAGATTTTAAAGTACTTAAAAGTGGCCCGCTAGTTACTTTGAGTTGCCCATCCCTGGTATACATTATGCCATGACAGAAGTTGTCTGAATCATATAAAAATGATTTATGACATATCTAAGACAGGGTTTCCCACAAACCATATTATCGAAGATTTCACGGAGAGCATAGCTGGTATTATTATTGATTTGGAGTATTTTAAGTCGGTCATTCAATCCATGAAAAACTCCTTTGCAAAGCAATTTGAAGATTTTCGAAAACAAAACATAAGTCGTTGTTCTTAAGATTGCGCTACACCCGTATTTGTTGTGTCTGTCTAACAAACGCGTAACATAGCAAATTTGCGTTCAGCAGTTCACATTTTACTCTGTTAGCTTAAAAAATAGTGAATAGACTTATTATGAAACTTGATGGTAAGAACTTTATTTCTGTTTTGTTAGAAGTATTTTTATGATAATTAAATTTTAAGTGAGTTATGCACGTGTAATAAATTGTAAAATAAAAATTCTCATAACTCACTATAACACTATTCACACTAATTTTTAAGCTAACGGTGTAAAACTTAAACTGCCCAGCGTAAATTTGCTATGTTACGCATTTGTTAGACTGGTACAACAAATACGGGTGTGGCGGCCTCATCACCATTCACAACGGAGACTAGACGAATTATTTTTCCATTGTTTCTATATTTCGACATAATAACATTTCCATTTCCTAGGGACATCAAGTTAGGTAGGCTATCAGAACTTTTAAATTATAATATAATAAATGTATCTAACAATTAAAGAACGATATAATCTATAAGATATTTAACACTGAAAGTATTATGAATTATGATGCTTATATTTCATGGTTCACTGATAGTGAAGGGAATCAATATATTTTATACACTTATATATTATATGTTACGTGCAATGTGTAATACCGGTCAATGTGGTCCTGCACGGGTAATGTGAACCACSATGTTTTTTTTTACCAACTAATAATATTGACCGAATAAACAATAATTAAATATATTCATGTATCATAATAATATCACTATTACAAATATTTTGATGAAATAACAAAAAAAAATATCAAATATTATCATTTTATTTAGGTTAGTCAAACTTATAWATGATAGATCATAATAAACCGTTGACTGATTTTATCAAGACAGCTATTAATTTTATCATTCCGATATGGCCATATCCGTATAGAGAATGTATGATTCTTAAATAGGTTACGATAGCAAACAAAAACAAGTTTTAACACGGCGTGTTTAAAAAATTTCGTAGTTTATTGTGAAATTTCATATCATTGGATTTCTTATAAATTACTTAAATTATTTAACAATTATTATTAGGTATTATTATAATTGTTTTAAAATATTCATTATATGATAAGATTTAATTAAAAAAAAAATAATAATAATTTTATAAAATTAATAATAGTATTAAACTTTTAAATACTATATACTATTACAAAAAAAAAAAACATCGTGGTTCACATTGCCCGGGCAGGACACATTGACAGAGCAATGTACAAATTGCCCGTAATATATATATATTATTAGATACTTGCATTGGTAAATAATGAGATATAATTATTGAAAATAGTAGGTACACTAAGGTACTTAGTAGGTACTCAGCATCAAATTTAATATTTACCTGTCAAACCTTGAAGTGGTAATCGATCCCTAGATTACGCCCCTTAAATTAATATACACAATACTGTTATTATAATTTATAGTCACATATTATACCTGTATGGCCTATATGGATATGGCCCTATACAACATCTATGACCCCATAATAATAATGAACCATATAGATCCAAATATCTTACCTAATACCTAACCTTTCGTACACAGATATAAAATAGGTACCAAATATGTCTAACATTATGTTRTTAAGTATTATAAAATTAATTTAACAGACAATTTGATGTAGATACGGCGAGGCGGTCGCGAAGGCGTCGTCTATAATGCGTGACAACCCGACGTCCACCATAGACAAGGCCGTCTTTTGGATTGAGTTTGTCGTCCGACACGGAGGAGCACCACACCTGCGCACAGTCGCCAATCAACTCTACTGGTTTCAATACTACATGTTGGACGTGATCGCCGCCACCATGGCCGCGTTGGCTGTAGTTTCATATCTCAATTTTAAGTGTTTATCTTACTTGCTGAAGAAAATCTCTGGCGGCTCCAAACGCTCCGCTTCAAAAGTATCTAAACTCAATAAGAAGAAACAATGAAGATAAATTTTAAACTGTTATCATTGATTATAAATACTATAATATATTATAATATTATATTTAAAATCAATGTTGTTATATATCATGATATTTATGTGGCTGAGCAGCGCCGCGCAGTAGGTAGCAGCGTCTTGTGTTCAAGTTTTTAATGAAATATTATTTTCTATTGACCGTTTATACATTTATATAATATAAGTTTTATTATATTTTATATACATATACATACGTGTTTGAACGAATACAGGTTATTGTAACTCTTCAGTGATTCGTTCAGCTGTTAACCAAAGTGTTAAGTTATTACCTCTTGTTATTGTCCATGTAATTATCATTAAATTTTAATATCGAAAAGTAAAATAAAGTCAGTAAGTTAATATTGCATTATACATCTCAATGTTTTTATTTTTTCTATATGCGTCAGTGGTGTAATTACGAATTTGGTTTTTTTTGGGTATCATGTTTTAAGTAAAATTTATAAGCCTCATACAATAGCCTATGCCACCAAATATAAAATGTTAGCAGTAAAATAAAGAGTGTTTTTTAGGTGTAGGGAAGAATCCTCTTACTTACGCCCCTGATATTATGTGTTGACATATCCATTATATATTATCATAAAATTGATACCTACGTATGCTAATGTAACAACTTGTAGTCTTCCTACCGTAAATTATATACTTTAGTCATTATACCAAGGCTCGAGACTTATAGCATTCGCTTAATATAAAATCTAGCAGAGTGCTATTGAGACTTATGGCATGTTACAATTATTCATGAAATTTAAAAGTGCTTTTTTAACCACTTATTTAGATAATTTTAAGTGCTTTAAGTCCAAACCCTGGTCATCCAGAATCTGTAATTTTTTTTTAAATAAAATGCAGCCCGTGTTAATTTTACAGTCTTTAGGTAGTTTTGTATAAAAAATTTTAAAATAGATTTAKTAGGTAGTTCTTGAGCTATTAAAAACAAGCAAACAATTTTACTTTTTGATAATATGAGTAGGTATACCTAGTCAGTACCAGGTAGATGTAAGATGTAATGTTATGAAAGTTGTATTTAAAAAAACCAATTACGTTGTACTCTAGTGATATGTACTCTAGGTGAATAACTCATTCGTGGACCCCATATCTGTTCGTTTACATTGCATACATATTTTGTTATCAATATTTTACCAAAACAGCAAACAAAACTATAGACATTCATCGTTTTTTAGTTAATCCCTTCACATATTTTATAGGTACAAGCCAAGGTATAAATAAGTTCTTTCTTGGTTCGTTCAAGACCATACCTCTAGATAAAAATATTGCCACCTATTTCTATCCTCTGCTACTTTCTGCCAATGACTCTCCGGCTCCATTGTTTCAGCGTCTCTATTACCGCAATCCTCCCACCTTAACCACGGTCTTCCAAGAGGTCTCCTCCCTACTGGGTTTTCCTCTATTACTCTTCTTATTAATGAGTCATGTTTCCTTTAGGCATGTCTTGCCCAAACTAGCCTTCTTTTTTATCTCTTTCAGTATATCCGGTCGCTGAAAAAGGGATTGCTGTTCATCTTTGTGTAATTTTCTCCATTCATTTGTGAGAACATCAAAGTATRCTCCATAAATTTTCCCGAGTACTTTTCTCTCAAACACTGCCATCCTTTGTTCTTCAGTAAAACATATTTTAATAAGTTAAAATATAAATATAAATAATCTAGTTAAGTAAGATTAATTTTAACTTTCAGACTTAACAGAGTTTTATTGATATCAACTTACCTATAAATATAATAAATAATTATTATATTATTTAGTTATGTAATAATTATTATACTTCAAAAACATTTACTTTTTTATTTCAAACCATATAAATGGCTTTATATATATAAAATTTAATAGTTATCTTATTTATCTGTTTTATTTTTTTCATTAAGAAAAAAAAATAATCCTTAACTGCTTTGGCATTCGATGTAACATTGAATAATGTAGGTAATGTAGATATTAAAAAACACAGATTATAAATTATTTAATTCTAAATCTAATAATAGTTSATAAATCAAAATAATTTTAATGTGCMTATATAAAATAAGTGAGGTAAAATAAAATATATTTATAAGGATATGTAATATTATATAGATATTGAATAAATTCTTATTCATAATGCAATATTTAAGCGCAAAATTTTAGAGATAAGTTTTTCATTTAAAATAGTATCTAATTTCTTAAGAGGAACACATATTTGTTTTGTTGTTTCCGTCTTACAACTGCGTAACATGGCAAATTTACGTTCAGCAGATCAACTTTAATTCCGTTAGTTTAAAAATTAGAGTAAATTGACCTATTTTGAAACTTGATGGTAAGAACATTATAGGTGTTTGAATGTGGTTTTTTTAMGATAACTTAGTTTTTGAATGAGTTATAAGCATTTTTAATTTACGCATGACCTCTTGCTAGTTTGCTACAAAATTGAACTATCCAAAAAAACCCACATGCAAACACAGATCATGTTCTTAACATCAAGTTTTATAATAGGTCAATTCACTCTAGATTTTAAACTAACGGAGCTAAACGTGATCTGCTGAGCGTAATTGCTATGCATTTGTGAAATGGAGACAACAAAATGGTTGTGTATCATCCTCTTAATTTATATTTTTTACTATTGTTATAATGTAGGTTTTTAGAAAATATGAATAAAAATCAATATTGAATAAAATGTTTTATAATTATAAAAATATTACTGTACCATACTATAACAACAATAGGTATTAAGAAAATTAACATTGCAATAAATTAAAAAAATTACAAGTTGAGTATATTAAACTAATTTACTATTTAACTGAATTAACGATTATTATATTGAAAATAATATTATTGATTATAATCAATGATAATACCTACCTATTCAATATAAAGAAAATTATTTTAATATTTTACAATAATGTTGTTACCTCTACTAAGATATTAAACATTAAACCATAATTACATGATATGAAACAGTTAAATAGAATATTAAACATTTTTTTCAACTGTTCTTATTTTAACTCCGGTTCCCCTTCAAATCGAACTATTCTTATTTAATATGTATAAATGAATTTAATGTTTAAATATTTTAATAATGACTTTACTTAAGTGTTACTTGTTTGAGCATTAAGTAATGTATTATTTATAATAACCAAATTCTATTGGATAAGGTAATACCTATATGGCTATACTAGTGATTGGTCGAACCTGATTTTTTGCTGTTAAATCAAATATTGTCAAAGTATTGTGAACTGAACCGAATTATTAACAGTTTTAATTGAACAAAAAATTTGAATGCAACTTCTCATTTTATTTTATCGTGCATAATTGCAATAATTTAAAAATAATAGTTAATAGTTGAATAATATTATGATACTTACATTTTAATTAATTTAAAATGGAGAAAATTAATTTTAGATTATGTTTGAYTAAGAAAATTTTCAATTTAAATTTACAAACAGTAAACGAATCTCAATAGTTAGGTTCATACATTTTTCATACTGAGTTTGAAATTCAAACTAAATTAAAAAACAAGGATTTGTTTGTGTTTGGTTTGAGATTCAAGCAGTTTACTTATCATGACTATATACTAATTACTTATATTTTTAGTAAAAAAGAGAATATTAGATAAATAAAATAAAATTTGGTATTCACGAAGAAGAAATTCATTATGTATGAATGTAAAAGCATTTCAAAATAATATGATTATTATAAATAAAGAACTAAAATTAATTAAATATAGAAATACATTTAGTAAATTATATAATATCATATAAACAAATTACGAAACATTATACTTTAATTTCAAACAAAAATTAACTGTTAACATATTAGAATAGGTACATATTGATAAGTACTTTCAACAAATTATTCATACAATATCTTTGTAAAAAATTTACTACTATTGATTAACAAAATAATAATGCATTAAACTTAAGAAAAACCATTAATTACAGATTTATTTTAAGAACAAAATTTGACACCTGTACCTAATCCTAAATATTAAATAACTAAGCAAATACTAATAACTAAATACTTTTGCTTAGTGTTTAACAAATCATAGAAAATGTCAAAAACTAACATTTAAAAAACTATCACACAACTACATGAGATAAACTAAAAACTTACATTTTTTTTTTAATTGTTAAAAAATAAAAACGAAACACTTGTAAATGGATAATGGATAACAAATTATTTACCAAAAAACACCCCAAAACACTACAGACTATTATATATTTAGATTTTTGATGACAAATAATTTTAAGTTTATAAACAATGCAGATAAAACTTTAATTATAAGAGTAAAAAATATCCATTGGTTTCTTTTTTTCGACATTCCAAAATTTCTCTTGAACATTTTGAAGTGTTAAATTKTTATCGAGGAGTACATATTGATCAGTAGTTTGTGAAATATACATTAGAACATCTTGATGACCGTTTCCAAGCTCTTTACCATAGTCTAAATTTAACCGCATGGTTAAATAACTTCTCAAGTGTTCCACTAATAAAAAAAAAAAAAAAAGTTAAACTTATAATTTTAAACATTTTATAATTATTCTTAGAAACAAGAATATTATCTAGTTGATGGTATAGGTTTATTAATATATTTTAATTGTGAAGCAAGTTAGGGGATATGAACATTTTAAAATGCTCATCATAACTCACTTTTAACATTGAAATATATAAAAATCAAAACATGCGTCTAGGTTAGATAATATTTTAACTAATAAATTTGGCAATATTTTAAATATAAAATAATAAATACGATAGAGTAAAATTAATTCTCCAGAAAATACAATTTGCTACATCATGCATTTGTAAAACCGAGACAATGTATCTTAATTTATGATTAATTCTTAACATTTATTTTCTTAACTGTAAATCTATTAATTTATTGTGTTCCAAGGGTATTATAAACTCTATCTCAAATAAGATTGATTACCCTCTGGCAGAAACAAATTTTTATTCCATTCGGTTATACTACATCCATTGATTAGTTTACATCAACTTCCAGTCTTTTTGATCAGCACCAGGTGAAAATTGCTTTACCGCCTCTAAGGGGAAATTATAACTGCATGTGTAGTCTCTGTCTTCTTAACACGGATAATTTAATTTATTTTACTAAATTTTTAATAAAATTACCCTAAATACTAAGGGAATACATATTATGTATAGTGCTACACCCATCATCATTGCCATGCGCAGATGCCCATCATTTGACATATTAATTTTATATAAGACTGAGTATATGTGTAAAAACTATCAAATTTGAAATACTAAAAAATGTCAATTTTATATAMAATTATTTGCAAAAAATATAAGTGTTAAGTGCTACAATAAAAATATATTTTGTAATATACCTAGGTCATTAAACATAAATTATCTAATTTAAATAGCCATACCAGTAGCAGCAGGTGGTGCTTTTATATAACGTAGATCAGTTTTGTTCAAGTCTTTTCCCAGTTTATTGTTAGCATGCATTTTCTTAGGATGAAGTTTCAGCACCAATTCCATATCATTTAATGACACACCATTAAACGCATCGTCACATTCAATGATATTGGAGGTTACAGTAGTTGCAGCGAGCCCTGCAATCTTCTTTTTTTTTATTCCATTTGTTTGCACTGTTGATTCCAGCACATTATTGTCCACTTGACTTGAAGTTGATGGTGTCGAAGTATTTAATGAGGTACTTCTAGTTTCCTGGGCGCTTCGTTTATTTTTAGTATTGTACGAACGGTTTTGTTTTTGAACTTTTAATCCTTCAGTTATAGACTTTACCATATTACCTTGGTTTTGATTCTGATTTAAGTTCTCCATAATTTTATTTTGATGCACATTGAATTCTTCACGATTTGGATAAATTAAAGATATGACCATGTCAAAATTTGTGTCAGGTCGTAGACATCGTTTGGATACTATTCTTTTACGACACGTAGGACATTTTTTATTACCTGCACGAAGTGCAGTCACAATACATACAGAACAGAATCTAAATAAAACAAATTAATTTTTTATTACTAGTTACAAAAATATTGTTAAAACTCATTATGAATGTAATATATATATATATATATGTATTGACACATACCTATGAAGACATTTTGTTGCCATTGTTTTGTTCAACAAGTCCAAACAAATTGGGCACATCAGCTCATTGTGAAGAGCCTCCCGCGGTACAGCTATTTCTCTATCGTCTGTAATAACTTCATGAGCATTCCTCTGCAATTCGTACGGCGTAAGTTCCCATTCATCCCTATCGTGGTTGCTCGAGTTTTTTGAAGCCATGTCGGAAAATTATTAAATTCAATCTTCATCATGTAAAATAAACGAAATTCAATGACCAATCAACAACGCCGACCATAAAAGTGTCATTCAGTATAATATGACGCATAATTATATGTTATAAAATCAATACTCACCTAATAGCTGCTGCTGCTGAACGATGATTGTACGCGTTAATGAAAATGCGACGTAACGCGTGACGGATGCTTTGGCTCCGACAGTTGATACTATTCAAAACATTAATTACGTCGACAGTCGACCTGTTGCACTAATCGAACTAACGACAACGCTTTCGGGTTTCAGTCGGTACTTTAAACGTGAAAATCGACGGTAAAACGCAAACGAAGTAAGTGATCAGACCGAAAAACAAAAACGTGTTCGCATAAAACGCTTAACGCAACAGTTGTTGCAGCTCGTGTCGCTCGTGGTATTAGGTACGTTGGTTAGAAGTTAGAAGTAGAAAGTAACAGGTGCTTTAACGCGKCGTAATATTGTTATCAGTACCAATGAGTTATCACAAATCGCGAACGTTGGGCGCTGAATGCGCGACGAACGAACGGAACACGTCGAAATGGCACGCATGTAATATAAGACACCTGAACGCGTCGTGTCGAACGGAACAAACTGCGGAAGGATCACGCGATGTATTGTCGTAAGTTGCAATGATACATGCGACGCAATAAAATCGTCTCAACTTTTTACCATCACCGCGGTTAAATGGTTTTTAATTATTCAGATAAGCATTTTGTTATCAAAATGCTCATTATACATAAAGCGAACGTCGTCGATCCCATTGGCCCGTCAAACGGGCATGGAGTAAATGAGACCAACTTATAATAATAATAATAATAATAGTAATAGTAATAATAATAATAATAATAAATAATGTAGCGATCAATGACCAGTGGTTCTTAATATTAATAAGGATACCGTCATGGAACTATATAATAATGTTAGGTTAGGATTTTTATTTAATAGTTCAATGCACGATGTTCTCTACATCGTGGTTCAATGGGTTGCGATCAGTGATAATTGTCTTTTTAATGAAGAGAAGAGATAATGTAAGTACTGTGAGTGTGACCAAGTTACGTTATATTGGGTGTACGGTGCACTGTGGAGGTGTGTTTTTCAAAAAAAATGATAGCATGTTCTGAGTTAGTTTCAGTAGCGCAACTAGAAATTATCTTAGGGGAGAGGGGATTCAAAATTATATTACAAAAAATGTAAACATAAATTATCATGTAAATAATATAATATTTTTTATTTGTTTTAAAGTAATATCGTATAAATAATGAAATGTAAAATATGAAAACTGTTATAAAAAGGATTTTTTTAAAAAAAACCCTGATTTGAGTGTAGAAAATGATCTTTTAGCTTTGCATAATGCGAATAGGAAGTCTGGAAGTGTGACTAGTATTTTCAAAACCTTAAACACTTTTGGGAATAAATCTGACAAGTTTTTATTTAAAATGTCGATGGCATTGCTAAGTTGAATATTACCATCAGCTAACTGTTCCATAATAAAACCTCTGATTTCATATGATCAAAATTATCTTTGTCATAACTGTAAAGTTTAACACATCTTTCTTCATTGAAAGTTGATCTTTTTATTAACATTTTAAAGCCACTAAAAATGTTTTTATGATTACTAAATGATTATTCAGTTATTATTTGTTGAGTGTATGAACCAACAAAAGAAATAAATAAAGTTTTTTTGAAATATTTTCCAGGATCTTTAAATGTAATCAAATATTTTATTAGTTGTTTTTACACTAAACTTATATGTTCAATAGCTTCAATCAAATCGATATTTTAGGTTTGTAATTATTAACACAGTGAATGGGCTGATATACTGGAAAACATAATTCAGAATAATAAGGACTAGGTTAAATTCAAATATTTGTATTGCTAATATAGAATTTGATTTGGCTTACTTGATGTATCACTGTCGTTCCAAATTATCTATTCTAAAAAAATTAAAATTTTTAAAATTTTAAAATTAAAGTAAAAATTATTAATAAATATAAAAACTTGTACCTTATTTATAGCTTTTACTGTATATTTAGAGATATAATTGGTAGTTTCTTAGCTTTTATGTTCACAGACCCAGTTATAAGTTATGACAATGAAATTATAAAATAATCTTTATACCTACCTACTGATGTATTCGCCACTATAGTGTTAGTGATTTGAGGATTGTAAATGTGTGTAAATGTGTAAAATGTGTAAATAAGAACACTAGAATATATCTACTATAAAATGAAATAAATTGGTATTACAATTTTCTGAACACTTAAATAATAAAGAAAGATTCAGCATGATGCTAAAAACTACACTCCTGATGGCCATGTCGAATCTGTGAATGATCGCAAAATCACTTATGTCGGTAAGGTTTTTACCTTTTTCTGACCAGYATTTTATAGCTTCCGCAGTCATGTAGGCCATAATACATATACATTACATCATATGCTATACCATATGTCCATATCTCATGCTWAACCATGCYAATACAACAAACGCAGTTAGTTATATAACAAAAGTCATAATAATATTATATCATAAATTTACTAAATAACAGTAAACACAGGGTAACTACTCTGTTTTTTAATCTATAGCAGGATGTAGCCAATGCAGGAATTGGTTTGCATAAATAGGACAATATTTTTGGGTGCACACAAATTGTAAAGAATTTCCAGATTCCTAAACTTAAAGTGTTTAGTATATATAACAATAATTTCAAATTTATTTTTATGCACTATATTTGAACACAAAATAAACAGTAACAGATTGAAAAAATAAAAGTATCACARCTATAATAAATAATAATATGATCTTTCAGTCTATTAAATTATAATATTTATRTTTGAAACAACGTAAATTCAGATTTCCGTATGATGTGATTCATATCTTCTCTCTCAATCACCCAAATCAATAATGCTATTAAAACTATTATTATTCAGTTTAGGAATTCTAAACTCTAGCTTATTTGAACTATTCTAGTAGAACAGCTTAAATTTAAAGATATAGATTGTATTTTTTGTTTAAAATAATAATATAGCCAATATAGGCACCTGATATATGCCTTATTATTTGTATAATATTACTAATTACTAAAGAATAGATATTAGTTGTAACATAAACATTAAAATGTTTCATTTTCATAAAAAAACCATACAGTTTTTTTTGAATAACATAATATTGAACTGTTCCCTTGTTTTATAAGTTTTAACAAATAATAGACAACAGTGGCGCCGAACCCTATGTTAAGGTCGGGCCATGGCCCGACATATTTGAAAATTTAAGATAGGGGCCGCTTCATATTGACCATTTTCCTCTCCACGGTATGCCATTTTTTCCGATATTAAGATGTTGGGCCTCTTGAAATATTTTTCGCCCTACTAGATTTTTAGGATTTCGGCGCCAATGATAGACAAGGAGACAACGTAAACGCGTTCACATTCATAGGCAGTCTTTCATTCTGTCTTTACTCTGTGTTGTAAGTTATTTCGTTAGTTTATAAAATATTATTATTATTATTATTATTGTCATACAAATCAGTAACAACTATGTATCTGTAAACGGGTAATATACTAATTCTATGATTGATGAGTTGTTAACATTAGGATACATATTTGTTGCTTAAATAGTTGTGTTTTTCGTAAGGATTTAAGATGTTGTGTTGTACATGAGTTGACAAGAGCCAGCGTCAGTGGTTCCGTCAGTATGATAAAATTTGTGCAAACTAGTAAATGATTTAGATTCTAAATTTTAGAATAAACTGGATTACTATTTTCTACTTGAGAGAAAGAGTTGAATCGGGAACTTATTTTTTGAATTAACATCGTGAATACTGAGAGTATTAACCATAGTGGGTCATTTTTACGACTAAGGCATTTAATATAAGGTTATTTTGTTTTTTTTTGTTGTTCTGATTTATTTGGAAAACGTATTCGGTAGTTGGTAATTTGGGTATGGTCGATTTGCACTTATTTTAGTCGAATTGCACTTGGATTTAAAAAAGGTAATGGCTGAACTGCACTTGGTCTCAAAAGTATTTCAATAAAATTATTATGCATTTGAAGGGGTTAAACATTTAGTTAACACTCATTTTCCTATAATTATTATATTTTAAGCTCAAATATGAGGCTTTCCACGCGAAGTTCAATAAATCATTTTCATCACCACATCCAAATATATTTGTTTTCATTGATGTTTTAACACAATTACAAATCGACACCTACATTTTAATACAGAATACTGACACAAGACCATCAACAACACGATACTAGAAAAAAAAAATATTAAAAAGTATATTGACTTATATACTCAAAAGCGTATTACCAGGCTAGAATTTTTGAATGCAGTTAGTCATTACTACAAAAAATGATCGAAATGACAAAAAAAATATTTATAATAAGTAATGACAATAATTAAATTTGACGATTAAAAAAAAAATGTTTGATAATAATAATAATATGTATAGTATAATATAATATAATATGATGTAT